TACGAATGCACAGCCATAAGGCCCACAGACTGATTTCAGACGTTTCAACACACACATGCTATCATGTTGTGTTGAATCAATGCAACGGCTACTGTACTGGGGCACGGTATCGCTGAGTTGAAAACCAGCGGTCCCAGACTCACAAGGCATAATGCATGAATATCACACTATTACGATAAGTGCTTACTGCATGTGTTAGCACACACTTCTTTTAGCAGATGCTTTCCAGCAAATGCTTTCCAGCAGTGCTTCCCAGCAGTGCTTAAGCTTCCAAGCTAGGCTCGTGCTTCTAAACAGCAAACTGCCCTTGTGACCGTCTTTGTGCGTGTTTATGCCTGCTTTGTGGACGTTATATAGGCGATCATAGCTTGCAGTACCGCCAGTAGCGAATCAGCGTATCGGGACGGCCCTTCTCCTGCAAGCTTCCGGGGAACACCTCGTGTGCCCTCTACGTTAGCCCGCGAGTACTCAAATGTTCCTCTGTTGCGTTACAGTATCTACGTAGGAAACCACATAGATTGTCCATGTATTTGCATGTACAGTACGTTGCATTTGAAAGTTAACGCTGCGAAAAGGAATGGGAAAAAAAGCAAAAGGAATTCACATTCGCATTTCACATTTCGCATTTTGACCACAACTTTTCCCGCCTGCGAATTTGCAGCAAATTGGATGCAAAAGGGGTGAACGACGTGCGAAAACAGTGCGAAAATCGTGCGAAAACATCGTGAATCTTTTGCGAACACGCCTTGAAACATTTGCGAAAACATTGAGAAAAAAACCGTGTGCGAAAACAGAGTGAAAATTTTGCGAAAGCGGTGCGAAAGGTTCCAAAAATCATGCAGAAACAAGAAGCATTGTGCAGCGAAAATGCTCAACACTTGCCACACGCGCACGACTATTATGCAGTGAAGAGTCCATTACGCAGGCTGCGCTGCGCTTTGGGTCGGCCGGTCAGGCCAACTCACCACATGCACGTGGAGTGTGCTGTTGTAGTCTAGTAGCGATTTCCTCAGCCGAGCCGTCCGGTCCATGCAGCGTGATCGCAGGGATCTGCTCACCACGGCGAGCTGCGCCTGCGTGGCGCAGTTGCTTTCTTGGATTACCATAAATAAACACTTGTCAATGTCGGAGAATAAATGTTTAAAAAATTTTCTGGATGTTGAGTGATTAAACGGGAGTCCCCAAGTCATGAAGTCAAGAAGGACATGAAGTGTACATCACTACATGTATGTATTACAACAAACTTAACTCGCTCTGCTGTGGCGACATGGGTCGGGTTATTTGCCCACTTTTTATTTATTCTCGTGGTTTAGTTTGGCACATGAAAAAATCAACAATGAAATACTACATGTAGTATTTTGTTACTGAAAGGTTTCTTTCGGTCAACAAATAAAATCAACTGCTTAAATTGTACGTGTATCTTCATGTAGCAATCTCGTCTTTTTGCCGATTGTGTTCGGTGTGACATTTCGGGTCTGTTTTCACTTTGGTTTCTGATGACACGTTACTTTCTTTGGTCACATGGTTTTGGAAAAAGTCAGCGATTGGACTGAATGGGCATGCAGTAGCAGTCAGGATGTCGCAGTAGGTGTAAATGCAGGTTGTGCTTCGAGATAACCGGATACAAGACATTTATTCGGAAATCATGGTACATAATCTGCCAATACATGTAAACATATTTCACATACATGACAACATGTGGATACACGAACATGTGCACATATGCGGTGCACATGTTGAGCATCCATCCAACTTCCAAGGTGTTAATTTAAACACCACCATAGCCAACTTTGATTTCTCCTTTCGCATTGTATTTTGCTCAAAACTGAGAAACATACTTCGTTGAAATTTTAATGCTTTCTTCCTCAAGTAATCTGAATATTCCTGAGAATTGAAGAACTTTTCTCTCAGACTGGTTTTTCTCCACTTTCCATATTCAGAGATGCGCATGTTTGAAACCACAGAGAACAAAAACTTCCTGATGTCTACATGTACATGCACAAATACTACTTAATGAAGAAAGTTTGCAAAATTATTTCCCCACTACCAGAGAAAAACTGTGAAAATCTTTTCCCACTTGTGTGAAAAAATGCAAAAATCTTTTCTCACTTGTGAGAAAATTTGTGAAAATCTTTTCCCACTTGTGGGAAAATTTGTGAAAATCTTTTCCCACTTGTGGGAAAATTTGTGAAAATCTTTTCCCACTTGTGGGAAAATTTGTGAAAATCTTTTCCCACTTGTGGGAAAATCTGTGAAAATCTTTTCCCACTTGTGGGAAAATCTGTGAAAATTGTTTTTCCATTTGTGGGAAAAAGCGTGAAAATATTTTCCCACTTTTGGCACACTTTTTCACAATTTGTGAAATGAAAAGGAATTCCCTGGGAGAGAAAAAAGTTGAAAAATTTTCCCATTTTGGTGTTGACTTTCAATCGCAGTGTACTGTACATGTACATCTATCCAGCACACTTTGAAGAACATCACCATATCCTTTCTTTTTTCCCATGTTACTTCCTGGATTCCCCTTAAAAGTTCACTTTAAAATATGCATTAAAAATTAGTGAAGCATACACAATTACTCTACATTCTGTGGCCAATACAAAGGCCCATTTGTCAAGTGACAGCATAACTGGTTCTATTTGGTTTGAGGTAAGGTCACTGATATGGTGTCCTGTACTGCGCCGCATTGTTGACAGGAGTTCTGTATACACCAGTACATGCATACATGTACATGTACATGTAGGTACATATACCTGTATGTTCTAGCAGAGATAGGTATTGCTCTGAATTGCCTTAAATCAAAAGTGGTTAGCAGTAGCAGGTATATGTACATGTAATGTGGGAATCAGGTACCCTATACCCAGTACAATGTTACCTGTAATTATTATTATAATTATAACCAAAATCAAGGGAGTTGAATATTTTAACTGCAGTCCCCGAACCACTGCAGGATCCAGTGCTGCACTAGTACTGACTCGATTCTCATGCTTTCAACAACTAAAATTGCAATTTCAACTTTTTACTTCAAATTTTCTAAGTGAGAAATAAAGTCTTGACAACTCAAACGTTACGGAAATGGCTAAAACATTGAGTTATCCAAATTTTGAGCGAACGAAAGTTCCTGATTCAAGGAGTCATAAAAGGCCTACACACATGTAAGTGTATATAATCAAAATCATCCTGCTCTACCATGGCGACGGATTTGTAGTTATTTTCGTTCCATTTTTAATTCCAATGCTGTATAGTTTTTCTCATGAAAAGTTGTTGTTACTAAAAAGTTTCTTTTCTTCTTTATTGATAAGCAATAAATCACTCGCATGTTGTTCCCTTGTGTGGCAAAACTTTCCCATCATTGATCTATCGTGTTCAAAGCATGATGCCCAGTACATGGTCTGGGCATGTTTTTACTTGGGTTTGCCTACAGGTATGTGTGGTCATGTGACCTTTCTTTTGCAGTCAAATGGCTGTCACAGAGTCAGCGATTGGACTTCCTTGGTGCATGCTACAGTTGGGTCCATGATAGCATATACCTGTAGGATAGCTTGGAAGACAGGATTTGTTGCAGTTACAGGTTGCCGTAACCGTGGTGTCGTGAGTTCCAAGTACAGGGTATGTTGTCTTCATGCAAGTTGCTTGCCGAGTAGCACTCTGTACTGGCTCTTCTCATTGATTAATCTGCTGTCTAGACACTGAAGAATTGTAGGTAACTGGACTCTTGTAACATATTTTACTCTTATTTTTTCTTACAATTTATAGGCAACTAAGCAAAGGAAAGGGTGCCCTCTTTTCTGAAATATTATATTGACATTTACAGGGGCTTTTTTGAGTAGTAAAATTGACAAAATGGAATTCATTAGGCAGGCTGTTGGTACCTGGGTACTTGGCATTGCACTATAAGGCAAGATAGTTGTGATATAATTTTACCTGGTTTAACAGCTGATGACTTGCATATTGCCATACCCTGGGAAAACAAAGGTGAAGTAACCTAAGCACTGAATGCATTGGGAATCCCCCTGAACTCACCCACATTTCTCAGCAGGGATCCTGGAGTAATTTTTTTTAAATCTTAAGGAGTGTCAGATGTACATTTGTACAATCTGTCCCTTTTTCAATCCTACAAAATCCTTAAAAACCTGGTAGACTTAGAATGATCTGGGCAGACTGCATACAAGGATATAGGCTGACATGTGGTGTTACAAAAAGAGTAGGGTAATTGTTGCTCCATCATTTGACCATTTAGCTTCCACTAGTC